TTGTTTCTTTCTACATATATTATGTAAGCAAATTATTTGTTTAGAAGTATACTTATATTGCATTTATTAACTACATATAACAGATGTATGGATATATATACATATATGTATATATATATATATTTCTACTTTACAAACTGAGCGCATTAACGATCTTTGCTTATTCCCTTTATAATTTCAACATATGATATACATATATATATTGAGAAAAAGAAACAACGAAAATTAAAATAAAATATCTTACATAACTAATCAATAATTTTGAGTTATATATATGGCAACATTTATGTAAGTAAGATTAATTTAATGTTAGTAATTCTTATGGAGAAAAGCTGTGGAACATATATTTTACAGCACAATTAATGCTTGTATAGAAAATTAAAATTTTGAACTGCCGGCAAAAGGTTGAGAGTTAAATGAAAGGAAGCAAACGCAGCCAATTATTTAATATAAGAACGGTAGAACGTAGAACTTTAAGTAACCAAAACGGTTTGGTGGCGGCGATCATGTACTGATATCGTTACAATATATATACATATATTTTTATGTTATTAAGCGATCTCGGATCAATAATTATTACAATTTTAACATAAATTGTTTTGTTATTAATTAAATTAAATATCAATTCCTAGCGAGTAGAAAAACTGATCTCGAGACATATTTTGAATTTCGGTCGCGCACTTATAATTAAGTCAAGCATGTTTAAAAACAGAATCGGAGGCGTTTTTTTTTTTTTTTGTTTTTTGGAAGCAAAGTACGTTACGTAAGTTAAACGTAAAGATGAATGTGCTTTTTGGCGAATTCTTTAGTTTCGTTTGTGAAGTTTGTATAGTTTCGATAAATATCGATCAAGTGTAGTACATGGCGTAATAACTTTTGCAACTTTAAGAGTTTCAATAATGAAAATTATAAGAGAAAAAGCACAATAGTTAGGAATATATAATAACTCCTCTATATAAATAATAATAATATACATATATCTTATGCATAAATATATAAATATATATACTGCATTAAATAGAAATTCGAGAAAGAAGCTCGCGTTTATGTTGCATGCTTGACTTTAAGTGCTTTCTGAATTCAATTTTCTAGGCCTTTTTTTTCGAATTACGTGCGTTTCTGTACTAAAGCTAATAATTTCACTAATTTTGTTGCCAAGTGAACTTGTTGTTGTACTACCAACACTGGAACCCTCAAATATAGTATACATCTCAGTAGGTGTATCGGGTTTGGATTTCTTTTCTGTAAGATTTGGATGCTTTGCAGGATTTATGGAAGGTTTGATATAAGAAACTAAACGATTAGAGGAAGCGCCTCTAGAATCATCACTAATCGGTGAGTCTAAGGTATTATTATTATTTTTTGTAGCAAATGAGTTGGATAAACGTACATTTTGCGGGGTTTTACTAAGTAATGAAGGATTTACGATGGAGCTGTGCAGATTGTTTGTTAAAAGTGCTGGTGAGTCTGTCTTTTTCACCTTACTAAGTATAACTTTGTCTAGATTAGCTATAGATATAACGAGGGGTGAGGATTCATTGGATTCTGGTCTTAGTAGGGGTACTATAGGTCTTACATATGTAGGGAATAGGGTGGTTGGTACGGTACTGACTTTAAAATTGCCCAAATTTGAGCCAATCGTTGTGGCGTCCTCTTGTATAAACTGAGACGATAAAGTTGATTTTTGTTCTGTATCATTATTTTTAAGTGGTATAGGAGAGTTTTTCAAAATTGCAATTTCTTGTCTTTCCCCATTACTTCCGTTAAGCCATGCGATCAATGGAACATTTGAAGAAATATTAATGTTTTTGTCATCTGAAGCTTCAGGGTAATCGGTTGAAATTGAATCTACAGCTATTTTCGCATCGTTATTTTGAGAGTTAATATGAATGTGTGCTTGCGTTCCATCAATGGTATTGGAGACTTTCGCTTTACGGGCATTTTCGAATAGACCTTCGAGCGAAATTGTCGAAGTTTCTACCGCTTCTCTTATGACCTCAGGCACTAAAGCCTTACCTTGACGTTTCTGAATAACGTTGGGCGGACTCTCTTGCGACGTAGAGACTCGTATAATAACTGATGTCTCTGGTGAGTATTGATCGTTTTGATTTAATATATCGTCGATTGGTTCGCGATCTTCTGGCAGTGAATTGCGTACAGGCATCGAAGATTTTTGTATAATTGACTCTGTGGGGGTGTAATCAGTTACAGTGCTGTGTCCTTCAACTTTAATATCGCTGCCATCTACCAGATGCACATACTTGACTACACTTATTTCCCCCAATTGTTCAACATGAGGAAGTGATTCTACTTTGAGAGGGGAAGGGCCTCCAATCGGCACGATTTGATTAGCTTTAGATTTACGTCTAAGCTTTTCTTCCTTCGAATGGATTTCAACCACACGATTGATTTCTATTACCTTGTGTTTTGGACGCACCCTTTCAAAAATTAACCTTGGAATTGCATCAGCACCAGAATTAGAAGGCCGAGTCGATTGCTCATCATCGGACAATGTAAAAACATGCAATAGTGTTGTGCTTGGAGGCTGAGTGGTCGTCAATCCGAGATAATTGTCATGGTCCTGTGAAAAAATCTCATTAGCATTAATATCATGATTAATGTGGTATTCGTGTTGTTTGTCTTCAGTGTTGGTGCCCATGGTGTTTTCCAGTGTTTTTGGTGTGGTAGTAGTGGCAAAACCACCATCTGATTGTTGGCCACTAGAGTAGCTCTCATGGACCTCATATGCTGTGTTCTGTACTGTGTTAGGTACCTGTGATTCTAGTGCTGATTCTAAATTTGTTTGGTTTGAGAATTTAACTGTTGGTATAAGAAGTTTGGGTTTTAAAGTAGTATGTTTTTTGCTGTTAATATCGAAGATTTTTTTGTTTCTGGCATTTAAAGCTTCTATATTTAGATCTTCGATGAGGGGGTTGATGTTGTCAAGTACAGCTGTGGCTTCCGTAGAAGGGCCCGTATATTTACGTTCGTAAGAGGGCGTATAGCTAGGAACAAACGGTGCCGGCTTTGTTGGAACAGGCACGGTGGTGCGTTCAAAGTCGAGAGCTATTGGTTTTATGGTTAAATTTGGCACAGCGACGCCTTGTGGACGATTGACAATACGTGATCGGGATTTGGCACGAGTTTCAGCCGAATGGCTCTTATAGTTATTTTTCGATTCGTTGCGATTGGGCGCATTTGAAGCTCGGCTGTTGAATGGTACGTTGCCTCCTGGTCTAGTGGTAATAGGTAATTTATCTGCTGTTGACTGACTTAACGAAAAACTCTTTTCGAGATAATTATGGGAGTTTTCAGTTGCCTTATTTTCTTCTATTTCCTCCTCCTCTTCGTCGTCTTCCTCTTCATCCTCTTCATCATCATCTTCGTCTTCAATTTCACCATCATCATAATCATCGTCCTCTTCAATACTTTCTAATTGTTTATTAATCTTAGAAGAATTATCATTGCTCTTTTTCGAGAATGGGAATTGCTTAACAATTGCCGGTCTTAACACGCTGACGTCCTCTTCATGTTCTTCTACTTTTTTTCGTTTTGCCATTATTTCTTCGGCAGCGTCTCCACTATCTCGAGAGTACTCTTCGTTAGGAATTATTTTTAAAGTGTCTTGAGCTTTCAGTCGACTTAGGTTGAATGTCGGAGGAGTTCTAGAATCAGTTTTAACATAATTTTGAGCACTCTTACGATTATTAGCATTATGGGGAACAAAGCGACCAGCGTTGGGACGTGTGTATTTTTTGGTTGAGTCAGAAGTGGGCAGTTTAGCGGCGCTTGGAGTGGGCGAATTCGAAGATGGCAATACCGATAAAGAGGGTTTCTTAATAATTACCTTTCGTCGGAATGTCGGTCTTACGCTGGGACGAGGGGTTGTAGTATCAGGTATTAAATTCCTCCTTGTTGTTTGTGGAATTTCTGAAGTTAAACCTATTTCCGGACTAGTTAAAATTTGAGCATCAATTAATTTTCTACCGTTACTTTCATAAAAATCAAAATTTTCTTCGTTTTCAACGGCAGATTTAGCACTAACGGTCTCATTCTCAATATTGCTATCATCGCTCGATTGAATTGCAGTTTTCTCTCTACTATAAGTATTAGTTTTAACGCTTAGCAGTTGCTCGGGTTCACCAATCTTTCGAATCGTCTCCGACAAAGTTTGGACTGGTAGCGTTTCGCCTTCAGTGTTGGCATCTTTGACTTGTTTCTTCAATTCTGTATTCAATATTTCACCATCGACCAAAAACGTGTTGGTCTTAGAATTTGGCAAGTCTTTCGTTCTATTTGTCCCAAAAGTTTTCAAAGAACTTGTAATCGTTTCTTCATCAAATGGATTAGATTCTTCCCTTTCATTTGTTTGGGTGTTGTTTCTCCTTAGAGGTTTATCTGAGTCATCGGTTTGTGATATGTTGGGAACGTTTACACCTTTTGAAACAGTTTTGCGTACTGTTGAATTCAGTTTAGAAGGTGTTGGAGAAATCGTTTCGGAATTTTTATCTTTATCACTATTATCGTAAATACTTCCCGTATAATCATGTTGATTTAGTAATTGAGCCTTAGGAATATCACTCGGCGATTCTTTTGTAAAATCAATACTCTTATTTTCTATCCTTGATTCTGAATTGCTTGCAGTGTCTTGATTATTTTCAGTTACTTCCAATTCATCTGTATACATGAGAGGAGTATGAGTTGCTTTCTCTAATTCCAAGTTTATAAAATCGTCATCGTCATTGGTAGTTTGTAGATCTTCTTCGATCTCCATATCTTCTTTATTTTCCATTTCTTCTTCTCTATTTTGGAAGTTTTTATCTTTAACTTCGTCCGATATATTTTCATTTTCATTTTCTTCTTGCTCATCGCTGCTTTCGTCGTAATTATCATGATCAAATAAAAAGGTTTCCTTTGTGCTTACTGAAGATGCCTTGTTCTTATATTTATCTAGCTGCACGCCCTCCGAAGACGAAGATTTATATATGTTTAGGTTGGCTGGTTGGATGTTCAATTTGTTTGCTTTCCCGTTAAATACAGTTTCATTTTTCTTATTTGCATTTAACGCGTTCTCATTATTGTCTTCCTTACCATCAAAGTTCGATTTCTTTTGGTACGCTGGAATTTTGATGTTACGATTGTAGTCGTATCGCGAGTTATTTTGTTTTTTCCCCGAAAATGGTATAATAGTTGGTTCGGTTGAAGTTAGCTTAACCGTTGAGGCAGTCTCTGTTGTAGTTTTTATAGTTATGGTCGCCCTATTAGTTAGATTCATTGGTTTAATTATTTTGCGTATAACTTTACGGAAACGTTTTGGTGGCGTAACAGTATTTAGTGAGAACGTTTCCGTTTGATTTATATTATGTGTCTTGGTCAAATATTTTATGTCTGTAGTTTCTAATTTCTCATCTGCTTGTCTAATAGTACTGAGGATATCTGAATTTTGGGTTTCAATGTTGGCAGTAGTGGTGGTATTAGTGATTCTAGCTGAGGTAACATTTTCCGGTAGATATGAATTATTAGTTAAACCGGCCAACGGTCGGCGATGTCTTAGAATTTTGATGCGTCTTAATGTTGGAGCTGGACTAGAGAGTGTTTCGGGTGTAGTGCTTTCGGGTATTATGATAGTGCTGCTTTCCAGATTATACTCTTTGATCTCCCTTGTTTGTTCAACATCTACTAAATAATTTACCTTAACACTGGCAACATGAGCTGAATCTTGACTTTCTTTCGTTGCATATTTCTCAGTTGTTGTCGTTGAGGTCGTTGTAACGCCAGTTGTAATAGTTGGAGTTAAAAATCGCGATCTGTTGAAGTGGTATTTCTGAAAACGTCGTTTAAAATTAACATTATAATCATTGTTGACAACAACATTATCGCTAAAATTAACACCCTGTTTTACATTACCCTCTCTAAGATTATTAAAATTAACTGCATGCTTTCGAGTATTATTAACTTTAACATCATTTCTAAGGTCATTCCGTTGTAAACGTTTTTCGGAATGATTTCTGCTTTTTATGTTAGTACGATATACAATATCACGTGAATTAGTATTTAATTTATTAAAATAATTGGCTACGGTGCTACTACGGTTAGTATCAAGACTAGGAATCGATGATAAATTATTACTATTAATGGCTTGATCCGCAATGTCACCCTTATATGCAATATTCTCATTTCCTGAATTGTTCTTAAAATTATTTGTACTCAATTTTAAGAACATTTTTTCATTTGTTAACACACTCTCAGTTCGATTGTGATTATATTCAGTGTTATTTTCATGACCGTGACTAAGTAAAGTCGTTTCAACAGAGGCGTTTTCCTCGCCAGACATGGATGAAGTATTATAAATATTGGTAACATGGTCGGGAGAAAGGTCATCATTGTCTTTGTCTTCTTTTTTTGATTTGTCTTTATAACTTTTTTCTGCTATTAGGCTCTTAACACGTTGTTCTTGAACGAAATTTTTAAGGGATTTTCTTATAGGGTTTTCAATTAATTTTCTTTCTTTTGGTTGCTTGGTGTATTCATTCATTTCTTGAACAGAAAATGAAAGAGTTTCGTCATTTTTCCCGCTATTCTTTTCCTCAATAGCGGGCCGCTCTTCTCTAATGGGAGTAGTTATCTCTTCATTATACGAATCGTCGATTGAGTTATCAATAACGGTAGTCTGCTCAGTTGTACTTTGATAATTTACTGCAGAAATTAATGATGGTTGAGTATTTGTAACCAAACCGTCTTTAGTAGTGTTAATCTTATCTACAGTCAAAGAAATGCTTACTACGTCACTTACGTGTAAGTGATCGTCTCCAGATCCTTTTGCTATAAATTGCTTCATATGTTCAGAAGAAAAGACAGAGATGTTTTTATCTTCTTTTTGAACTTTCTCTACATTAAAACGGTTGTATTCATTTTCGTTAATTTTTGATCGAATAACAGCTTCATCTAACTCCTTCAATTCCGGTGGAATAGTAAGGCTTTCTACGGAGACTAGTAACTCTGTAGTAATTACTGGATACGGAGTGCTCGAAGCTATAAGTGCTTTTAAACCTTCTTCATCCTCATCTTTATGAAACATTTCAGCACTGTCAGAGGAAACTGTAGAAGGATTTACATTCCTTCCTTCAGCTTCCACTTTATTCGCAAAATCCTTTAAGCTTTTTACCTTATTCATAACGCTTTGGTTATTTTTTGATTTGTTTGCATTTTCATATACCTGTCGCAGTCTTGATGCACCTATAATCGTTTTGGTAAGAGATGGTGTGCTTGTAGTAAATCCTTGGTGAATTTTTCTAGTTGGAAATCTTACAGATTCTTCCACTTTTTCACTTACGTCGAATGCTATTGTATCATGTAATTTAATGTTGGCTGCATCATCGAGGTGTCCAGTTTCTAAATTTGTTGTTGATATATGTTTGATTGTAGGTTGCTGAAAATTTTTACCACCTGAGAATATAGGTACTTCTAATTGACTTTCGCCGTTCATAGTAAAAGTTTTTATTAGTTTTCCACTTATATTCGCAGTATTAGTACCTTGCGATGTTATTCCTTGATTATAGGAATCTTCGGTTGTATTTTGATCTTCGTGTTCTGTAAGTAACGGTGTCGGAGAAGTTGTAATAAACTGGTCGTCGGTAGCGTTATCGTCGTCTGTAAGCGAAGAAGCGCTAATTGCCGCCTTTAATTGTAGGCCGTCGTCTTCAGTTTCGTCAGATCTAAATGCTAAACCATTCTCATCTTCTTTTTGATCTTCCTTTACGTTAGAACGATTATTTTGATTTTCATTTAATAGCGCTTTGCTTATCTTTGGTCTATTGATTGCTTCATATAACTTCATCAGTTCTGGTGCAACAGTAAAACTTTCCACGAAATCTTGTGACTCTGTAGTAATTACTGGATGCTGACTAGTCGAAACGACAAGGTCGTTTAAATTTTCTATATGACCGTCTTTGTGAAAAATTTCAGTAGTAGCAGGAGAAATTGTAGTAGGATTTGTATTTCCTTCTTCATCCTTTGCTCTATTCGCAAAATCCTTCGCGCCTTTTACTTTTCTCAGAACACTTTGGTTATTTTTTGATCGGTATGCGCTTTCATATAATTTTCGGAGTTTCGATGCAATTGTGATCGTTTTGCTAAAATTTGGTGCGTCTGTAGTAAATCCTTGGTCTGCTTTCGTTCTTATAGATTTTATCGAGTCTTCCATGTTTTCACCTATTGCATCATCCAATTTAATATTGGCTGCATCGTCGAGGTAATCAATTTCTGAGTTCGTTGTTGATATATGTTTGATAATAGGTTGCTGTATATTTTTTTCATGTGAGAATGTAGGTACTTGTAATTCCCTCTCGAGATCCTTAGTTAAGGGGCTCACTAGTTCTGTATTTAAATTCGCGGTATCAGTATCTTTGGAAATTATTCCTTGATTATAGGGATCTTCGGTTGTATTTTGATCTTCGGATGCATTTTCGTCTTCGTGTTCTGTAAATAATGGTGTCGGAGTGGTTGTAACAAACTCGTCATCGGTAGCGTTATCGTCATCTGTAAGCGAAGAAGCGCTAATTGCCGCCTTTAATTGTAGGCCGTCGACTTCAGTTTCGTCAGATCTAAATGCTAAACCATTCTCATCTTCTTTTTGATCTTCCTTTACGTTAGAACGATTATTTTGATTTTCATTTAATAGCGCTTTGCTTATCTTTGGTCTATTGATTGCTTCATATAACTTCATCAGTTCTGGTGCAACAGTAAAACTTTCCACGAAATCCTCTGACTCTGTAGTAATTACTTGATGCTGACTAGTCGAACGAAAATGTTCTCTTAAATGTTCTATAGATCCGTCTTTGTGGAAAATTTCAGTAGTAGCAGGAGAAATTGTATTGGGATTTACATTTCTTTCTTCAGTTTCCATTTTATTCGCAAAATCCCTTAAATCTTTTATCTTTTTTAGAACGCTTTGATTGTTTTTTGATCGGTTTGTGTTTTCATATAATTTTCGCAGTCTTGACACACTTGTAATCATTTTGCTAAGATCTTGTGCATCTTTAGCATGTCTTTCGTCTGCTTTCGGAGATGTAAATTTTATAGAATCTTCCACGTTTGCACTTACATCGAACGCTGTTGCATTATGAAATTTAATGTCGGTTTCATCATCTAAATGATCACTTTCTAAGTACACTGTTGATATTTGTTTGATCGTAGGTTGCTGCAGATTTTTATCATCTGAATCTAGTTGACTTGCGTGATTCTTAGTCAAAGTGTTCCTTAGTTCTCCTCTTAGATTCGCGGTATTAGTATCTTGTGATGTTATTCCTTGATTAAAGGAATCTTCGGTTGTATTTTGATCTTCACGTTCTACAAATAATGATGTCGAAGAAGTTGTGACAAACTCGTCATCGGTAGCGTTAACGTTATCTGTAAGCGAAGAAGCGCTAATTGCCGCAATAGTTGTGTTTTCCGCGAAGTCTGGCGACTCTGTAGTAATTACTGGATATCGGGTAGTCGAGCTGACAAGTTCTTCTAGTTTTGCTATATCTTCGTCTTCGTAAAAAATCTCACTAGTTCTAGGAGAAATTGTGGTAGAGTTTACGTTTCTTTCTTCAGTATCCACTTTATTTGCAAAATCCTTCGCGCCTTTTAATTTTCTCAGAACACTTTGGTTATTTTTTGATCGGTATGCGCTTTCATATAATTTTCGGAGTCTCGATGCAATTGTGATCGTTTTGCTAAAATTTGGTGCGTCTGTAGTAAATCCTTGATCTGCTCTCGTTGTTGTAAATTTTATCGAGTCTTCCATTTTTTCACCTATTGCATCATCCAATTTAATATTGGCTGCATCGTCGAGGTAATCAATTTCTGAGTTCGTTGTTGATATATGTTCGATAATAGATTGCTGCATATTTTTTTCATGTGAGGATGTAGGCAATTGTAATTCCCTCTCGAGATCCTTAGTTAAGGGGCTCACTAGTTTTGTATTTAAATTCGCGGTATCAGTATCTTGCGAAATTATTCCTTGATTATAGGGATCTTCGGTTGTATTTTGATCTTCGGATGCATTTTCGTCTTCGTGTTCTGTAAATAATGGTGTCAGAGTGGTTGTTACAAACTCGTCATCGGTAGCGTTATCGTCATCTGTAAGCGAAGAAGCGCTAATTGCCGCCTTTAATTGTAGGCCGTCGACTTCAGTTTCGTCAGATCTAAATGCTAAACCATTCTCATCTTCTTTTTGATCTTCCTTTACGTTAGAACGATTATTTTGATTTTCATTTAATAGCGCTTTGCTTATCTTTGGTCTATTGATTGCTTCATATAACTTCATCAGTTCTGGTGCAACAGTAAAACTTTCCACGAAATCTTGTGACTTTGTAGTAATTACTGGATGCTGACTAGTCGAAACGACAAGGTCGTTTAAATTTTCTATATGACCGTCTTTGTGAAAAATTTCAGTAGTAGCAGGAGAAATTGTAGTAGGATTTGCATTTCCTTCTTCATCTTTTGCTCTATTCACAAAAATCTTTAAGATTTTTTCCTCTTTTAGAGCGCTTTGATTAATTTTTGAACCCTTCGTGTTTTTGTGCAATGTTCCCGGGTATGAGGAATTCGGAGACGTTTTAAGATCTGGTGCGCCCGTAGCGAATTCCCTGTCTACAAACGCAGTTGTAAATTTTATGGAATCGTCGACCATTTCGCTTATAGCCACTTCTGTTGGTGTATTAAACTCGGAATTTTGCTGAAAACTTTTAATTGCTTTCTTTCTTTGTTCTTCATCTTCATTTAAGTTTCTCTCGAAGCTGAGCACTGTTGCATCATGTAGCTCAACACTGGTTGCATCGTCGAGATGATCAACTTCTAACTGCGCTGTTGATATATGCTTGAACGTAGAGATTTTTGGTTGCTGTTCGAGATCCTTAATAAAAGTTTTGGTAAAATTCGATTTAATTATCTCTGTTATGTTACTTAATTTTGATGGAGGCAAACGATTCACATATGGATACGTGTCGAGAGAGTGATTGTACGTGTGAGAAAATGTTGTGTTATTTAAATAGTGGTTTGTTAAAAAACGTGTTTTCTCCTCAGTGCCGTTATTTTCAATGGAGTTATTCCACGCAGAAAATTTTGAAATCATTATATTATTTGTAAAAAGATTTTCGGGGTCTGGTTGATCTGTAAGGTTAATTATTTTATTGGCTGTTTGGTCATTTCTTGATAAATATTCCGAGCTGACCAATTTTCTAATAGCGGGCTTATTGCTTTTATTAAAGGTCGCCAAGTTTTTTATAAGGGGATCAGAGCGGTTTTCGACATCGACTTCTTCCATATTACGGCTTGTCTTAGTTTTCTCAGATTCTTTCACTTTCGTAGGTCTAATAATTAGTCGAATCGAATGTTTTAAGGGTCTTGCTTTAATTTCATCTGATTCGATCGATTTATTCCCCAGGTAGCCTACTGTGACCTGGGGCGTGTCATTAAAAAATGGTCATATTCCTGAGTAATTTTGTGTTCTTCTTCTGCAGTTGATGACTCTGTGGTTGTTTTCTCAGACTCGTCCGTTTGCAATTCATTCGTACTGATATTAAAGACATCGTGAATTTGTTTGGCTATATTGGGCGGAGTGCTTTCTATTATGGCCGAGGATGATACGATTGGACTTGTATACGCAATCGGTGAATCCTTGTAGTATTGATAGTATTTACGTCTATGATAAACGGGCAAAGAAAGATCATCGAAATTGTTTTGATCATGGGTATCAGAATTTGTTGTTTCAGCGTTCACGTTAGCATCGAAAATATCACTTTCAACTCCTTCAATAGCTCTTTCGTCATCAATTGGTAAGATTTCGGTTGAAGCTGGCAGTAATTTGTTTACTGTTGCGGTTGCAGAAGTTAGTTTAGGAATAGTTGACAATCCAGCAAAATTAGGATGCTGTACAGACCCTCTATTTTTAAGGTTTACTATAGAGTTAGCTGTTGAAAGCTCTCGCAAGTTTGGTGTTTTACTATAACTTAATAAAAGTTGAGTACTGGCAACTGCTAAAGGATCCACTGTGGAAGTTTTCAGTGATTTCACTGACTTGTCCACAAAATTTATATCTGGTGTTAGGTCAGTTTCGAATTCCTCTATATCTTCCGTTTCAGAAACGACAACAGGTCTTCGCAAAAATTTCCTTCTGTTCTTTTGTTCATCTTCCCTTCTTCTTTGGGCTTTAAAACTTAAATCTAAAGCCAATATTGACGACAAGTCATTGCTGCGGAATTTTGCTGATCCTCTATTGCTTACAATCGAGCGATGAGTAACATCAACTGGCTTAATCTCATCTTCGTCCTCATATTCTGGTTCTTGTTTTTGTAAGATTTTTGTTTTGATGCGCTTTGTTGTTTTGATGGTATTAGGCCCTGTACTCACAGTGTCTATATAAATTGTTCGTATTATTGTTGTGCCATTAGCAAGTTTTTCAATTTCTTCGGTCTTATTAGAAGTGTTTTGATTACGTGGACGCAGTACTTTTCGTCTCAAAGCAGGATTTGCTGATATTGATTGCGAAACTTGATTACTAGCGCTTTGCTGCAAACTCTGACTTTGTTCTTTAGAGACGGTCGCAATAGAATTTCGGTTGCGATAAGGTTGCCGTAACGGTATTTTGCGGGTTTTATTCAATCCCCTTATTGTAGAGTTTTGATTGGAGTCTCTCAACTTATTAATTATTATGCTGTCATTTTCCACTACACTTGCAGAATGTTTTGTTGGAGCGCTGCTTTTTCGATTGATTAAGATCCTTCTACTAGAAAAAGTTGTGTTTTTCCTGTTTGTGTTTTGTTTACTATGATTGTTTGTATCCCAGTATGATCTGTTTTGAGAATTCAAAGACGATTTGTTAATATCTCTTCCTTCGTCGATTTTCGTTTTCGTGGACTCTTGTGTCTGAGTATTTAATTCACTTGATATGCTTTTCCGGTTTTCTTTATTTAAGATCAACGGTATTAACGGATCTAAATTTTCTGATATTTTTTGATGTTTTGTTTCGATATTTGCTTTGATAGTTTCTAAATCAGAATTATATGGTTCTTGTTTATTGATTCGAAACTGGTGTTTGCCATCATTTCTTTCCTTATTTTCAGCATAAACTTGAGAAGGGATATCCAAGCTTTTGTCTATTTTCGAATCGACTCTTTTTCCTATGGTTTTTGATTCACCTAATTCTGGCGTTTTAAATTTTTCATTTATTAAAGTCGATTTGGTTTGCTTAACTTCAAATTGCAGTTTTTGGTCCTTTTGTGCCAAAGCGATTTCCGAAGGGACTTGGTAATTTCTTTGAGCAACATTAAGCAAACTACCCTCATATCGTTCTACATTGGCTTTTAATTTATTGCTAAAACCTTCTGATTCTTTATGATCAGGAACGCTTACTGAGTCCATGCTTGGATTTAGATGACTAACTTCTAAAGATTTGCCCGAAGATGTGACGTCTTGAGAATGTTCTTCACTTAACTTAAACATAGATCTAGTGCTGTTGAAGTCATTTGCCGATTCACTCGTTTCTAAGGAGACATCGTTTTCTGGGATAACAGGTTCAGTTTTTATGACAACATTTCCAATACCCACAGCTGCCGTACTGGCTGTTACTAAAACATCAATATAGGTAGGAACTTCGTTAAAATTAGTTTCGTTACCATCGTTGTATACAGATCTTATAGTTATATCTTCCCCATCGAGCTGAACAGATGTATTGCTTTTGTAAGCTAAAGGAGCTGTAGTGACGGTTAACATTACATCTTTAAGGAACGTTGCATTCTTGCTACTTTGACTACTCTCTTCGTTATTTGAAGCGTCATATTCTCGCCCCAGCTGACCGTCAGAGAGTAGTCCACTAGATGTGGTAGTCGCTTCTTTCACGTAATTTACTTTATAGATTTCCTTGGCTTTTGGTTTTTCTTCTATGAGAGGTTTCAATATTTGACTCTCTATTGATTCTATACTAATTTTCTCCATTTCTATCTGCTTATTTGTATTACTTGGACTCTCTATTACTTTTATACTTGATTCGTTGTCTTCTACTGTAATATCACTTTTTGCCGCGGAAGCTAGATCACTGTTGTTTTCTTTATTTAATGTTTGCTTGATTTCGCTTTCGGAGTTCTTGTTATCTCGTTCAGCTGACGTGAAATTTTCTGTTTGATTGTTTACAGTACGATTTCTAATTATGTCGGTGTATGTTACAGAAGTTCTATTTAAATTTAAATATTGTGTTTCAATAGGGTCCACTTCTAATGAAGTGTTCTTACCAACATAATCTCTTTGTCTAATTAGGTTACCGTTCGCTTTATCTACAACATTTGTTCCATATTCCTTCATATTATTATCTACAAGATGTTCTTTTTCGTTATCTACTTCTAGACCAATTTCTTGCTCTACAATAGCATCCCCTAGAATTTGCTTTTCTTTATTTTCTTTACTTGAGTATTGAAGGTAATCTAAAGAGCGAATGGTGGTGCTCAAGTCATGATTGTGGAGTTCTTTGCCAAGAGGATTCATTTCATAGTTTTGAGATAAATGATCTATGTTAGAACTCACCTTCGTTGGAGGAGTTACTGCAGCATTTAATTTTGCTTTCTGTACAAAACTTGGTCTTTCTTTGGTTTGTGTCTTGACAGAAGTCACTTCGGTTGCTACAGTTGTCGTACTGGAGACCGTCGGCCTTCCACGACGTTTGGGATAACCAAAAGGTCTTGGACTAGATACACTACCCAGGAATTCATTATTTATGGATTCGTTGGTTATGGTTGTGGTTAAAGGATACAATTCGGTTGTCTGTTTTAGGGAGGAACGACTTAGTACTTTTTGTTGATCTTTTTCTCTTTTTCCGCCAAAATATTTATAAGCGGTATTAGATGAACTCAAAGAGTCAGTATTATTTCGATTGGTAAAGGAAGTGTATTTTTCGGTGGTAGTAGTTAAAGTGTTTGTGATGACAGGAGTAGTATCTCTCATTATTTGATTGTACACGGTCGATTGGTTTTGATCTCTAATAACTAAGTTTACCTCGTCTTTGTTGTCCGTATGCCCAGGGATAGTAGGTGTCGAAAATTTTTCAGTAGTTACGGTGATTGCTGGACTGTCAATTTCGTGCTTAATTGCGGGGAAGTTATATTCTGTCGTTAGTGTTGTTGCTGTTGAGTCAGGTGTGGGAGAGTCAGGGAGCGTACTTTGGGATAATTGATATTCTTGTTTAAGCACCTTAGAGGAGCTGAGTAAGTCGCTTGTAATGGATGGAATAATGGTTATACTTGGCGATGTATTTGTAATAGTGGCGGGTAGGTTAGTGGTGGTTGTAGCAATGGTAGTTGTTAGGGCGATAAGTGGTTGATATGTTAAGTTTTCGATATTGTTAGGTGCAGCTGTTGAAGTCTCTGTGGGTGTTGTTGTTACAAGCACCACAGGTGTACTAGTTTCTGTGTTTGATGCTGTTGTTGTTGTTCTGCGACCTAAGCTGACATAGGTACGTTGTGTTACTGGTATAGTAGTGACTTGTTCTTGTAGCTGTTGTGTGCTGTAGTCGGCTTTAGCAGCGCTCAACTGTACCGTAATTTTTTGGTCTTCTTTTTGATGAGTAATATCTGCATCTTCCCCTTCATTTTTCTTATTTTCAATCAGTTTAACGGTTTGGCTGCCTTCAGCATTCGATCGCGCACGTTCCAAATATTTGTATCTATAAGTAATTAAGGAATTCTTTCTTTGTCCAATGCGGGAATCCCAGAGCTCATTCTTAAACTTACTTGACCAATGCTAAATCTTCATTCACATCGGCTTGTTCACTACTTGCGTCTGCAGTGTGCATCCTACTTAGAGAAGCATGCGGCTTAGCTATGGTTGTGTCTTTAAAGTCTTCCTCTTCAATCAGAGAGGCAATTGTAGACGGTCTAGTGCGCCTGATGCTTGTATAAGATGGTGTTGCCGCACTGAACGGTTTATCTGTAATTTGTTCGCTTCTAATTGTTGCAGCAATTTCTTCCTCATCAGATTCAACTCTTTCGACTTTTTTCTGGCTGCCACGGTTACGATTGATCGTTACATACTGCTTTCTTTCTTTAAGGAATCCCGAGAATTCGGGTAATTTATCTAAGCCCTCGTTTTGTGGGCCTTGGCGGCTATTTCCTCTTACCACTGAGGAATATTTAGAGTATTCTGAAGTTGACTTAGAGTTGTGTGTGTCATTTTCATTAGCTATATCTGATTCTTCGTCAGACTTTTCCCTATCAAGTTGTTCAGTTTTCCGATAAGAATTTGAAGGAATAAAACGATTGCGAAAGGAATTTAAAGCATTTGGTCTACTTAGCACTTTGTCATAAAGTGATTTGCTAATACTTGAAGACGTAGTGGATTCGGCATAGTTTGAGCTGCTTGAACTATGTTGTTTAAAGGAAATAGTACCATCATCTTTACGCAATAAATGCTTCTCTAACTCCTCAATGCCTCCAACACGGCGAATTAATTCGATTAATTCTTTAATTACTTTAGGATCCTCTTCAGAATGCTGTTCCTCTACATCCATATAATCTTCGTCGTCCACTGGCGGCTTAGCAGTTGTAGTAGTAGTGGTGTGCGCGGTAGTAGAAGTAGTCCTGAAAAACGTTGTACGCGCTGTAGCCGCTGTAATACGGTTCACAGAAGCCGTTGGCTTGGTGGTGGTCGCAATGGAAGTGCTGGCGTACGACTTTGTTACAGGAGCAGCAGTAGTAGATCTAAAGTATTTATCCATTTTTAAAATATTGTCCCTCAAAATAATTGAAAAAAGAATGAAACTGTTAACTCACTTCTTCGTTTTACAGGGAACATTTCTAGCAAAATCACATGAATCGGCAGCAGGATTAAAATATAATCCAGATGGGCAAGTAAACTGATGAGCAACAATACCTAATCCAGAGGGCCCACTGTCTAAGCACCAGTAGTATTTTTTGCAATCTCTGGGATGCTGATAAAAGCCTTCATCTTCGCATTTAAAGTCTAAGAAAAGCATAACACACTCTTTGAGTGTGATTTAAGTATTAAACACAATTCAATACTTACCAGTTCCAGGATCCGGAGTAGTTGGCGGTGGAGGTGTGGTGGTACGGCCACCGATATATAATGAGGAACCTTCCGCTTCAGTCAATCTAATCGTTGTACTGCTAGGGGACCTAGTAGTGCTGTGTTGAACGCGCTTACGTGTTTCTTGATTGGAAGTGCGACGTGAACTCTCTTTGCGCTCTTCGTACGTTAATTTGTCACCTACATTGATACGGTTGCGAGTGGCAATTGAATTTTCATGATTCCTGGATCGATTCGATTTTCTAGGTGCACTAGATTTCGACACCTCATTAATGCCGAGACTTCATATAAGTAAATGAATAAATAAAAATTTCAACTTGAAAAACAAAAGCTAATTACATTACCCCATAGCATCAAACATTGACTCCTTGGCTGCTTCAATCAAAGGGTAAGGTTTACCAGTACATGTGCCACGGAAATCGTCATTATCAATGGACCAAAACATGATACCACCTAACCCATGTTCTACCACATACTGAGCCTTTTTACGCACAATCGCTTCATCATCATAGCCTACCCATTGGGTTCGACGATAGGCATATGGCCCCATTGCATTAGCATTTGGCTGTACAACTTCCCAGTCAGGGTCCTCTTTAATATTATTACAAATTTCATAAAAAGCTAGGTAACCTTTTTCTCTGGTAGCATCTCCCTGCTCCCCAGGACCCTCTGCCGGTGCTCCGATTTCTGTACTTTCCTCATTAATCAAAGTATAAGAACGACCGTACGTGGGTATACCCAAAACCAATTTGTTGCGGTCAGCGCCAGCTTTCAAATAATATTTTATAGAATAGTCCTAAAAAGATCATAATGTCTATGATTTATTTCATTTCCCTCTTGCTTACTATACTTGTCACTTTTACATCACTGACAAACTTACTATGTTCAATTCAGCATCATAATTGTATTCTGAATCCTCCTCCAGGGGATATAATGGAGCGTGATGATTAACGGATGGTTCATGAGATGAATGAAAATCATAAGTAAGTACATTGAACCAATCCAGATATTTATTTAATTTGGGTATGTCGTAGCCTTTTTCAATGTATTCAATGCCAGCCGGAACAGCCATTGTAAGTAATAAACGCTGACGTCCTGTTTTCTCCGATTCACGTTCAAATTCTGCCCTAAGCTCTTGTACAAATTGGGCATAGTTATCGCGATCGCCAGGCTTACCGCCTTCTCGATGTGCTGGATATTCCCAATCCAAGTCAATTCCGTCAAAGTGATTTTGTCTCAAAAATTTCAATATATTTTTAATGAACTTTTGCCGACGCTCAGGATTAGCCACTAAGGGTGAAAAACGTGACGACGCTTCATTCCATCCGCCAATAGCGATCATTGTCTTCAATTGTTTATTATACGTTTTGAGACCAGTAAATTTAGCATAACCACCTTTTTGAGAAATTTCCAATACATAAATTGATATTGACACACAAATAGCTAGGATTGTCTCATTTCATCAATTACCTTGTTCTATGTCCTGATATTTGTCAAATGGTTTCATTTGATTGTCTTTTGTAAATCCACCGAAGGCGTAAATTAAATGCGTACATAGATATGGATTTATGTTTTGCGGATTGAATTTTGCTGTACCTGGACGATAGACACTCCAGTTGGTGTAATAGCAGACAATTCTCCCCTCCGAATTGACTCCTGAATGTAAGCGACAAAGGAAAATTTATTTTCCACTTCAACTTGCGATTATTTCTTTTAACTTATTTTTGTGAACAATGAACTTGTAATAGCCATATGTTAAGATTTTATAAGTATATATAACATACAGGAGGAGAGAAGAAAAGTAGGAGACATAACTTATTCTAGTAGCCGATCTAGACACACTGTTTGAATTAGCTTAAATTTGCTCGAGTATTTTGTGTTCAACCTACAGGTCACAATTTCTAAGATGTTTCGAGATAATGAACCAAGAACGAATCTTTTTGAAAATTGGGTAGAGCGCCTTATTCCGAAGAAGTTATTACTTGGAAAAAATTTGTTACCTCTAAAATTTCTCCACAAAAATCATTGGGTGAGTACTATCTTACTACTATCCTACGATTTTCATCCGATCGGTTAATTTTTTCCGCTCACTGTCTTATGAACTCTCTTATAAGATAGCCTAAGCTCTAGTATTTTATGATGAAAAACGTCCTACAATAGGGATTTGACATATGTTCTGCACTGTTCAATTTTTGACCTTTTATAAGATTTCTCATGCAAGTCTATGTTTGGGAACAAAATTTCATTTTTAGTACTTTATTACGAGAATAGATGGGGATTAATAAAATCGTTAAAAAGAAACTAAATTTTGCAAAATTGAGACTCTCCTCTTATGAAAAGTACGGCTTTACTTGGGAGTTAAATATATTTTTTCGTAGTTTATTCCGAAAATGAATGCAGAATTATATTTGACAAAATGGTGGGCACAGGTTACCTGATGGGCAACCTTTTTCACCTAAAAAGTTTTCACTTATTCTAAAAAGGCTCTTTGCTAAAACACTTGCTCTTTCTGAATTATTGCTACGAAACTCACCATTAATGAAAAGCAAAGTCCACAGTAGAACGAATGCTGACCATAGCGTCCCCTTCGGCAGCTGTAAAGACAAGAAATTAAATAAAATTTATTATTACCCGGCAATATTCTATAAACGCAACAAGCGCATTCATCTTCTTTATGGCACATTATAGTGCTAACACTTCAATGGTGCAATCGATTGCGCATTCTTTACCGGCTATTGGCGACACCGGAGTGATCAGACTTCAAAATTTAAAAATATACATATACTTAGTGGTTATGTACGAACGAGATTAAATTGTTTATGGAAACTTCATTCAAATGACTTGGAACTAAAATAATATTTTTACTCGATATGAGTTTAGTCTTTAGTGGACATTAAAATAAAAATAAAATAAAAAAAACAAAACAGAAAAAATAAGCCAAGCAAGAAGTGTGTTTGCTGGACGTAACATGAAATTGCAAGCTTGACCTGTGGAGTTAAGGTAAGAATCTGTGCGACAATAAGTTAGTTAAGAGCATGCACATACATACAGTTTGCTTAAAATATTGCATATTTTCATTAAGTTAACTCTACATCCAATGTTTGTGACAACATTGACAATTTCAATCCGCTCGCTGCCAGTAAAGCAAATGCCTGGGAGTCGGTATAGAACTTGTAAAGTTTTATTAATGCGGCTTTTGTTTTTTAATAAATTTAACTTTAGATTGTTTGTCCCACACAAATTAGTCGCAATCGTTGAAGCAAGTCATCCATAAGTCCACGGAGATGAGGGCATTAGATCTGCGCATTATCTAGATACAAATGAACAACGCAAAGTCTTGCAGTACATTGGAACCATTTCTTCGTGTAAGCGATAAATTGGTCTGCACTTTCTCACACATTAGCAACGATTATGTAACTAAGACTTGGTGAGCCTCCATTGTTGGTCTGAAACTAAAATAAAATTCACTTTTCCAGTAATAAGCTACGATTTACTCTATCAAATGCCTTGCAGAAATCAATCATAATAAAGATTCTTAAAATGCTCTCGCCTTCCAAAAATACCAGGGCATTGTCCGGTCCGGCTGTGCCTGGGTTTATAGTTTGATTGATTAGGATTTAGTAAAGCCCTAGATTGGCAAATAAGAATGAATTCATCATTATGTAGCACAACTAAATAACCAGATTCATATAGGAGATCTAAAAGGTAAAATTAATCCACAGAAAGATATTGCAAGAAGCAAACGTTTAGCAAACACATAAATTATTCAAATGCATGTCGCTATATAGCATTGTATTTACATATGAGATCGATAATTCGTCCAACAAACGAAAAGAAGCGTTCATACTATTAACACTGCTTGGATTATAAGCGCATACAACTAAACGTATCTCATTATGATCAGAAATCTCGACTCGGAGACATTCCGCGATGCTGTTATTATCAGAGCTTAACGATAGCCAGGTCCTTAATCTTGTTTGACGTACATTGAAATTCTTTCATCTCCCACCTCTCACCTCTCAGTAGCTTTGTCATTTTCCTTTTTAAATTATATTTTGTAATCTTGTTACACTGATTGTCGACTTTTGAATTAAAGTATGTTTTACCTATACAAGCGACATCAATCAAAGCGATGGTTGGCATTTAATTCATGTAATCAATTTTTGGCTTGTTAAAGCTTCGACTATTTAGGTGACATACCTTGAAGCTATTGTAAGCTTCATTAACGTTCTTCAACACCATTTGGGTGTTAACATTGTTTACATAATAAATTGTAGTTAGCCATCTAGCTTCTAATATTTTTCTTAATCAAACTTAACTTATTTAAATACATCAGACAAGTTCTATTCAACGTCAAATGCTTAGTATTAAGAGACATTCTAAATCGTTTATTTACTTTTGTGCAGTTAATGCATTTGTTAAAAAAATTCTTGTCTACACACTCAAATGGCCGATAACTGCCTTGAAGTTTCCAACAAACATGGATATTTAGTAAATTATAAACTGTGCATTTCCTCCGTCCTATATAAATCCTTAACTTAGCAAGCGTTTTTGTGAACGATTCCGAGACGATTCGTTAATGAGACTATAGTGAATCGTGTTAGCCTTATCGACTTGGTGAATGTTAACAATTCTTAACAAAATATCCTTTAAAACGGAATTCTAAAGGGGGTATCTATCTGAATCTATTCTGGGCGTTGGATACATCCGCACAAATCACCCTTGCAGCACAGACGGTGTAGGGCGTAACAATATATTGAATAACCGTTTCATAAATTTATATTTTCAAACTAGCAGAAATCTTTTCAAATGATTTGAAAGCAAAACAAACAAAAACAAATCAAAATTATATCATTTTGTTTAATCCGCCTATTAGTCCGTTCTCTTTCTAGCTGGTGCGCATTTGTTGTGAGATCACGATTACGATCTCAAAACTTTCTTTAACGTTTCTGCCGGTCTTTCGTTATATTAAATCCGGTTCCCGTTGATTGGTCTCTCTTTAGTTAACGAAAAATCGATAACTTTCCTTTTGAAGATCGTAGAAGTTTGTAAAATTCAAAATTAGCTAAATCATGCCAAGCATGTAAAATTTGTGAGATTTCGGCACATTTGTATCTCAATTTTTTTTTTTTTTTTTTTTTTCTTTTGAAGTAATATAAGAGAGAGATGTTCACCATTTTTTGCAATCAACCATGAATACGTTACTTATCGACCAACGATGAAATTTTCAAAATATATCATCATAGGCGTTAATTGAAGATCTCTCGTTTCAATGCAAGTAAACGAATGGCAGTAATAAAAAATGCCACTCATGTCGCACATAGTTTTTGCTTCAATATGTATTCAATTCGAATATAGAAGAAATAATAATTGGTTAAGGCCAAAACTCATTTATATTTGGTTATTTATTTATTTATTTTTTTGTTTCTTTTTAAATATATGTATTTATCTTTCGCAGCTGCAGTGAAAACAAAACAATCATTACGATTTGCTAGTGGCAGAGCTGAGTTCATATGTTTACAGCAGGATGTGCGCGTATGTATGTGTGTGCGAATAGTTGCTTGCAAGAAATTTTCAGAGAAACGACACTTGGAGGCAGATTTTCGTTTAAAGTATTTTCGTTAATTGAATCGAATTTCTGAACCGTAAACAGATCGTTTATCCTTTTGCAAATATCTCGTAATTTTGTTCTGTTTTATTTTTTTTTTTTTATTTCATCACCTCCTTGACAAGTTGGGAAAAAAAACCATAAGAACTGGTGTTAATGAAAAGTCGTATGCCTGTCTTCGAAAAAAAAGAAGTGTCCTTTTATCTTACTCGAAAAGTGTTTATTTATTCCCCACCCGCAGACATAATACACGTGCATCAGAGCTAGAGGCCTTGAGTTCCTGCAGTGATGAGCTCTTTATCTTCTTAATGGTGGAAAAACATCATCCTATCGTGAGTGTTTTCAGCTTTGGGAAAAAGGAAAAAGCTGTGAATGATCAAGTGCGGTGAATATGGTGGCTGAGGCATGATTACTGTTTTGTTTGTGGAAAAAAAATGCTACTGTTCTTTTAATCAAAATTTAGCTATTTCCGAACAAACTTTGTCGTCACACTTTTTATGCCCAAAATGTCCGGACATATTTCATGGCATGAGCCATGAGTGATTCGATGATTCTCCATGATAATTTTCTTGACTCTTTCAACATTTTCATCGGTTGTTAACGTGTTAGGGATTTCTCGACCTTCTCTGAAAAGCTTTTGCCACTTAGCACTTGATTTTATATTTCACATAAAACTTAACGCATATTCTTTGAATCATTTACGTCTAACTCCTACTAAAAATGCAAAATTGCTGCCAATGTCAACATATGTTGCGGACATGTGTACCAATATAACAGCAAAAAAGACAAAAAGATTCGAAAATCGCATTTATAAAGTCTATGAAATTTGAAAATTCACCTTGTTTTGGACATTACTATGCAGTGTAGCTTGACACAGGAGTGAGTGTAAAATGTACGATGTCGAGTCACATTCGATATAAGAGTGGGAAAATCTAATAGATAGATATTCGACTCTGTTCTATTTGTGAGCAAATTTATTTAATTGATTTATTGATGGCCAAGTTGGGCTAAGAATTTTAGAGAAAGGTCGACTTCGGAAGCAAAAATCAATGAAACAACAGATGGAAGTACTAGCACATGTTCATCTAAATCAAAATGAGAGATCAAATGTGCAGATGTCGAGATGTTCAGATAATTTAGTGCGTTTTCGCTGCATTACATTTAATAAACTTAACATGATCATGGCAATGTTTGTAAAGATGCCGTTCAAGGTTGATAGTACTGGTTTTAAAAGAATTTGTACGTTTATCTACGTTTGATAAACAGATAAATGCTTATTACGTTCATAGTTTGCGCAAAACCGGACTCAGTGTGAGATTTTTAGGCGACAAATAATAACCATCAATATGTCTGTCCGTATGTTCGTCTATTTGTTTATAATAGTATCTATTAGTCTGAAATTCAATATATATCTACATACATATACATATATATATAGTAAAATATTAGTTGATTCGTGACAATCAACGTTATATGTATGAGCAAAGTCCAAAATCCATCGACTTTTTTTAAGTTTAAATTCGGCTTATAGATATTCTTTAAAAAAAAAAAAAAACGACTATTTTAAGCTTCTAGAATAATCACATATATAATATTATAATTACACACTCATAGAAGAGTTTAATGCTGAAATGTATGAGATGTGGATAAGGTTGCGCTTAATGAACATAAAGCTTTTTTCTAAAATTGAAAATTTCACCCTAAAGAGGAGAAACTTTTCCAATTGATTAGTATATATATATATATATATTAAATAGCTTTTTTAAAAGAAGCAAGTGTAAATGAAATCGTAGTAAAAATTTGATATTAATTGTATTCATTTTTTGTACATTCATTTTTTTAATGAATTCACTCTCTTATGTAGTCGCAAGCGCCTTTTCTCTCTTGTTTAAACGAATTTATATCAATTTTTAGTCGCTTGTTTGGCTGATTTTGTTGCCAAAGTCATTTGATTGCAAATAGTTTTCTTATACATACATACATACA